TATGAGGTTCGCATCTTTGCCCTTGAACTGGTCGCGGCTGCAAAAGTGGCATTTGAAATATCCCGATCTCTTCGCCCTTGACCCCTCATCCCTCGTCAAATTATTACTGAAAAATCACCTCCTAACACTCCTGCGATATTTGGGGCGCCCCGGGCCCCTCTATAGAACTCGACCTTTTTTCGGCAGCGACTGGAAAGATAGCAAGCCGATCTTCGAAGGATCCGTGGGAGAAGAAATCGCGATACTATGATCGGCCCCCATGACCTTGCTGATCATGCCCCCCAGCACCGAAGCGATTTGGTAGCCACCATGCGCTCCTCGAAGCCGAATGCGATGACCTGCCGCGTGCGCTGTTCCGATTCTGCGAGTTCCCGTTCACCCTGATGTGGGTTCGGCGAGCTCGCTGAGGAAGGCATTCATTTTACGATGTCCGGTGCAACATTCGGCAAATCCTCCGTCATGGTGTTCACCTCCTCCTTGACCATGCTCGCGGTGACATTCGCCTGCCGGGCGACGTCCTTCGCCTCCTCCACTCCCGCCTTTGTGTCTTTCATGCCCTTCCTCTTCCCCGCCCCCATGCGCATCATTTTCTCGAGCACTTCCTACGCGCGCGCGTCCTCCTCGCCCCCTTCCCCCGCGCCCTCGCCCACTACCTCCTCCGGTTACTTCTACCTTGCGCGTTTTGTCTTTTGGTGTCGACCCCGTGTTTGCGCCCGCCTTCGCCCCCCCAGATATGTGATCTGCTTCGGCCGAGCCAGACGCCCACTTGAGCCGGGCGCCAAAGGGAAGGACTTTGCTAATCCTTGCGCCACTTCAATAGAAACGCGGCGTCTGTTACGTCCGACGGCGGCTGAGGCCGAGGCTGCCGACAGCGACATTAAGCTTCTGAACATTGCTGGTTTATGTTCTTAGGGGTCTCAGCATGCGAGCACGTGGGAGCCAGCTGGCCCTCCCACTAGCAAAACATAGCTCACTACTCGTAGCAAGAGTGCCGCCCAGCAAGCCGAGGCTGGACCTCGAGCCCCCTCTCTTCCAGGCCAAGCCTGAAGTCGGGGGGGGAGCCTGCCCGCAGAGAGTCGGGCCATAGCACGCTTGCCGTGCGCGGACAAACCAGGGATGCACTGCCGTTCGAATTTCCGGAGATCGAACTCCGGTACCACCAGAAATGACACCAAAACTCGCCCCGAAAGAGTCGACTCGATGTGATCCGTGAACCGGTGAGGGCATCCCCCGACAATCGGATTTGAAACAGATTACGCTCTCCGCCCCGTCCTTCAAACACACGCCATGCAGATCCACTGACCACCCTGGGTTTTGTCAACCTGGCGCTGCGATGGGCAGGAAGCTGCTCGATCTGGCGCTCGTTGGCCCTCTTCTGATGGGCAGCCCTAGTCTTGGCCTCTTCGGCACGATTCCTTTGGAAGGAGCTCCATCAAAGGCTGGGGCCTGTTGGACCAGGGCGCAAACGACGGCCAGCGACGAGCCCGGGACCTTTCAAGTCATATTGTCAAACTCAACCACTGCAACCCTGTCGGCAAACGGGACCGAATGAACCTGCACTCCGCCTGAACCTGCACCCCACCGCCAGCTCCTTGCGCTTCGGAACGGGCCCCGCTGGGATGCTCGTCGCGACGCCCTGGTTACCTATGCCGCAGACAACGGTTCCCGCGGTGAGCTGCGTCGCCTTCGCGAAGGCTGCCAGACCTGCATCTGGATAGGTTAGTCTGTCCGCGACCAGAGAACCAAGCCCCCAGCAGACATGCTTGCCTCCACTGAAGATGGCGAAGCCCCATCCACACCGCTCGATTCGAGGGTCAAGGCGCCCCCCCCCCCCCGCCCCCTCCGATCCGATGACGCACCCCTCACCCAGCGCGCAACATCTATCAGCTAGGACAGCACTGAGACTCTCCCCCCCCTGAATGGGGACACCGCAACAACGGTCAGCCCAGGGTCTCGGGGGGAGACCGCCGAGCAAAAAGCAGGGGCGGTGAGAACACCCGCCAGGCGCCTCCTGGACCAACTCACCCCTGACACCCTGGATGTTGCTATTCTCAGGGCGGAGCCGCAACTGGTGGAGGAGGTCGTCCCCAGGCGCCCCGCAGCTCGGGCAACTGTGGGAGGTCCAAGGTGAAAGCGATTTCTTGCTCACCCTCTTGGATGGCTCGGTCAACCATGTCTTCGCATGAATCGCCCCCCTGGCTTTCCGCGTCGGGGCTTGGCCTCGGGCAGGAACGACGGGCGCGCGTAGGAAGGGCCTCCCGGCCTTCGAGGCGAAGCGCCTGCGGCCCGGCCACAGGGCCCCCGACGTAACAGTTCACAGGACTCCGGTCGGGGCATGGGCGCCTGAGCTCCTGAGTTTGTTAAGCTTCCTGAGTGGCGCACATGAATCGACCCCTTCTGCTAGGCCGCAGCCGTGGAAGCAAACGCTCGTCCGCGCCCAGACAGCGCCGTGACGAGCAGCCCCCCAGGAGTGCCAAGACGCATCCAAGAGGCGTCGTCGTCCTCCTCCTCCTCCTCCTCCTCCTTCTCCTCCTCCTTCCCTCCTCCTGCTCCATTTTCATGATTCTCCTCGCTCTCCTCTTCCTCGCGTGTCCCCCGGAAAGCTTTCAGCGACAGCTGGGGGGGCTCCTGTTCCGATAGCTCCAGCCCGCCGGTAGGCCACGTAGGCGCGTCCAAAAGGCAAGAAAAGGGCGGTGATTCGCCGCGGGCGTCTCCGATAAGCCGCAATTATCATAGGTTGTGTGGGGGGGGGGAGGGGGGGGGGCCAACGTCTGACTCAATCGACCGTTCTGATGCAACGACGGCGCCATGTCATTCGGTGTTTCCGCGTCGCAGACTTCTTCCATGAACGTTTTCGCCGACGTCGCCGCGTCAACTCGCCGAGATGCTGGGCCGCTTGCTGCCAGAAGCAGCAACTCGTCCACTGCTCTTCCTGATTCGTGGCCAACCCAATTTGTGGGCCCCTGAAGCACCGCGGGCCGCCTCAACGTCGGCCTCGGAACAGGCGCTTCCCCCGCGAGGGCAAGCAGGCGAACGCACTGCCAGATGACGACGCGCAACATCAACACCGAACAACACCATGCGCACACAGCCAGTGCACCTGCTCTGCGCTGGCCGGCCGGGGCCACTGTCCAAATAGTTGCGCCATCACGCGCGCCACGACGAACTGGAACACTGGCCCGCACGAGGCGCCGAGAGGCACCTTGCAACTGCGAGGCGCGCGCCGCCTGGCCTGACAAAAGCATCGTGAGAACTGCGCGATTAGTGTTGCAGTCTGTGAAGGAACACCCGCCCCGGCAACCAAGCGACGCCACCAAGTCCAATTTTTGGCACGTCAACATTGGCGGCGCCCTAGAGGGCGTCAATCCCGAGGCATTATGCCGCGCTGGTGCCCGGGCAATCTGCGTCGCCTCTGGTCTGCGGCCACCGGGCACCAACCGCGGCATCGTAGTGGCCCGCCTCTGGGTCGGAGCGGCGCCAAGTGGCGCCGCCCCCGCCAGAGGCGCCACGCGCTCTGGCAGAGTCTTGTCCGACGGGGGCCAGTCTGCCTAGCGCGCGCTGTCCAGCTCGGAGCCGCGCCCGACCCCGCGCTCGGCGCCGTTCGCGCCCAGGCAGGTCGCATGCCTGCGCGAACAAGTCCCCGCCCGCGGGCCAGCGCATGCCGCTGCCCACCCCGCCTCCCACTTGATCCCGCCGTTATACTGCGCGAGGCCATCGACCCCAAGAGCGCCCCCAATGCGGCCTTCAAAAGAATCTCCAAACAGCCGAACTAACAATGCTTGACAGACCGGCAACTCTCGAGGTAGATGCCAGCGGGAGGGGCGCACTTGTCTGACAGCCTGTGCTGCAAGCGATTCGGGGTCATCGCCGCGTCCGCATCGACCGTCGCGGCCCAAGTCGCGATGGCGAATGTGCCCTCCACCAGGATGACCTTCCGAGCCTGGTCGCGCAGGCCTGTGTTCAGCCAGGTGCCGGTTTCCTCCCTCTTCGCGAAGCGGAGGCCCGCGTCGACGTCATCCACCTCGATGTCAGGAACAACTGCACATTGACCTCGGCGTTGCCGGGGGCCCGCAGGGGTCGCAACCGAAGGTGTAGAATGCATTATCGTGCGCTCAATTCGCAAACTCCATCCTTCGGTGCTTCTTCTTCCTGTCAATGTCCTGCGTGACGGACGATCTCGCAGAAATGCGCGCCAGATCGCGCAATTCGGCATCCGCCGAAACTGCCTCCATGATCTCTGGTGGCTGCCTGCAGAGCTTGGAATCGCTGGGCGCGAATTCCTTGAGCTCTCGCCAGCGCCCTCCTTCGTCTCGGAGAACGTCAAGTCCGCCGCGCCGCAGCGCCCCGCGCCGCGGCAGCCCCCGCCCCAGCGCGCGAAAATGCGCTCAGAGTAATCGCGGCGTTGCCGGCCGGCCCCGGAGAACCCGGAGGGCCACCGCCTGATGGAAGTAACCAGGATGGTTTCCGTGCCCGTCGGCTTCCCCCTCCAGCGCTCCCCCGACCTCCCCCGTGGCCCACTTCGCGCATTCTGCCCTGCTGGCGGCGCGGGCGGCGGCCGGCGGGCGATCAGAACGGGCGCGGTCGTCGCATTCTCTTCTCCTCCATCGCCCCTTCCCCGCCGCGCCCCCCCTTTTGATCTGCGCGCCCTGCCGGCAGCAGGGCGCGGGCGCTTCCGGCGCAGTCGCTGTCGCAGGCGCATCTTCCCTGGGCAACGATTTCGTCTCACTCCTGGTCAACTGCTCCAGTCTGCGCCGCAGCCCGGGCACTGCCCCGCAATGCCCGCCCGCAAACACGTGTCCTGGCGCGCGCGCTCGCAGATGCCGCGCATTTCCTGGCGCGCTCGCGCCCCCGCGTGGACGCACCCCCCCCTCTGGTTACTGAAGGTGGGGCGCCCCCCAATAACGTGGTCAGCGGTGGCCGCCGCGAGTCCGCGCCCGGCGCGCTGCGGTGCTGGGCCAGCCCGCCACCGCGCCTTCCATTTCCTCGCGTCGCTCCAGCGCCTGTCAGCACGGTGATGAAGTCACCCGTCGCAATGCTGCAGGGCCAAGGGCGCTGGCCCTTGCTGTGCTTGCAGAACCTCCCGTCTCGAATTCCAATGTGCACGGCCCGCTGCTTGGCGCGCCATGCCGCTCTGAGCTGGCGCCCCACCGCGTTGTTGCTCATGTCTAACTCCAAGATGGCCTCGCCGTCGCACTGGTTCACGAAGGTTATGCCGTCCTGCCCCAGCCCCCAAACAAGCAAGACTGGGTAGTGGAGGAGGGCGCCAGTCACGCCAGCCGCGCCGAGATGGCGTTGTCGTCTGAGGCTGAGCTGCTGGACAACAGCTGGCAGGCCCGCTCCCGACGCTGATGCGAACTGGCCCCCATGCGCGCGTGAGGACCTGCAGGATGGAAAATGTCCTGCGCTGGCGCACGAGAGTGTCGATGGGGCCACTCGCCACCCCGCTCCATCCTTTGCTATTGAATGCCGCCCTCCGCCTTGTCTCCAGGCTATCCAACGCCTTCTGGATGCAACAGCGGGGCGCCGCTGCACAGGTAAGCTGCGCCATCGTGAAGCCTGCTATCAGCGCGCGCCCGTCCAAAATCCCACGCGGCGCGGCGGCGACTCTGCGCAGCTGGTCGCGTGCATCTTCCAGGCGGTTTTCCTTCTGAGTGAGGGCGCTTGCTGAAACGACTTCAAAGCCGAGGACTCTGCAGGGCGCTCCGTCTGCTGTCAGGCGCAGCCACTGGATGCGCGACTGATGCTGCCTGTCGGTTGGGCGGCGCACCCCTATCAGCATGTCCTGCTTCTTGTTGTCGTTTGCACTCATCGCGGTGAGCTCGTGGAGCTCTTCCCATTCTTATACCGTTTGCATTTGCTCTCTCGTTTGCGTACCTGCGGTGTGGTCACCTGCGGAGTCATCCAGCGCGGTGCCCGGCGCCTCCCGTGCAACGCGCAGGAGCACTGGGCGAAACACGGTGGCCATGCCATGCCCAGCGTAGCAGCTGGCTATCCTTGCGACCCTGAACGCTCCACATAGATCGCCTTCTCTGGAACTACTGAAACCGTGCCGTTGATCTCGAGCCACGCCCAAGCGACGCTATATGGCCCCGACCGGGCAGGCGCAACCGTGTCAACCGCCTTTTGAAAGCCCAACTGGTGAGATATGTCGTGTTCATCAATGAACATTGGTTCCACATCAAGTTCTTCGCCGTTGACGCCTGTTCCTGCTTCTCCGATACTGGGGCCAGGAGCGGTTCCAGAGATCCTCCGGCAAGCCCTCCACCAACAAGAAATTCCATGATCTGGTATGTTTTCAATATTTGCCACGCTCTTAAAGCAGCGAACCAATCACAACTGGTCGCAGTTTCGAATAGACCTTGTCCTCTCCTTTTGGACTGTGCACGTGTCTCGAAGTGAGCACGACTTCCGTCCAACTGCCTCGCCATGCGGCCCCAACGCAAAACTCCAAAGAAGTGTTTCGATCGCCTCGTCTGGGAGACGCCCGCGCTCATCAGCGGACCAACCGTCGATGCAGGCGCCGTGCCCTTGATCTTCTTGATGCTCCTCTTGTTGATCTCCCAAGAGCTGACCGTATCGAAAGCGCCGCCTCGGAGGGTCTGCTGGATCGCCTGCGGAAGCTTCCTGAGCTTGGCTTCGACTCTGTCTGCCATGGTCTTTATCTTCTGGGCGAAGAAGGCGCAGGACTGCAGTTTGATGTGTCTTGGCCGCGGCGATACAAGCCAAATAAATGTGTCTGTCCAGTGCACCGCAACCGGACGCAAGGCATCATGTTCCTCGTGCCACTGCCCGTTTCCGTCCGAAACGGGTCCGCGAGGAGGGATACCTGGCTTACCCTCATATCCAATCTAGAAGCTATCCCTGCCAACCCGCTTCATGCGCTTATGCCAGGCTTGAATCCTTCCCTTGCCTTGCCTGCGAAGCTCTGCCTCCAGCCCCTCCTCGGCGTGCACGGTTTCCCCTAGAGCCGTAGGCGACCCCCGGAGGAGGAGGAGGAGGAGGAGGAGGAGGAGGAGGAGAACGAGGGGGAGGAGGAGGAAGAAGAGGAGGAGGAGGAGGAGGAGGAGGAGGAGGAGGAGAGAGGAGGAGAGAGGGGGACGGGTCGCGTAAGCGTCTCGGAGAAGCCCGCCACCTCGGCGTGCTGCAGGATGCCGTCTGCGGTGCCGCGGTCCGGTCGCGCGCGGGAATGGCGCTCGCCCGCTGCTTGCTCCTGCGGGGGCCCACGCGGCCGCGGCCGAGCCACGCAGCTCGCCAAGAGGTGCGCCGCGCTCCCGCCGGCGCCGGCCAGGAAGAGGAGCCCCGCGGCTGCGCCGCCCGCCGCCCGCCGCTCGCCAGGGCGAGCGCCGGGCGAGAGCGTCCTGGGCCAGAAGCTGCTCCGACCCGCTCACCTCGCAGCCCAGAGCAGGAGCTCGACCACGAGAGGCCATCCACAAGAGAAGCCCAGCCCGGAGACCGCAGGGTGTGCAGTGGCCTCTTCTGGCGTGGGCGCGCCACGCTCTCCATCGCACAGAACCATCGAAGCCCACGAAAGCAAAAGCAAGGTATTAGCATGGGTTCCCACTGTACCTCCGCAAGCTCACCGCGCTCCATGACCGAGGTCATTGCTGGTAGGGATGGTCAGAAGCCGGGTGACGGCAGGCAAACCCGTGGCTGCTAAAACAGACCTCCGGGATCGTTTGGAAGTGGAAGCAGTCCGTTTACTATTTCGTGCGCTGAGCTTTCTTCTGGGAGTTTGCTTTTTCTTCCGGGGAGACCGCTTTGGCAACCACGGATTTGCCATCTCGCCCAGCTTCCGAGGTGGCACGTCCTCGCGGACCACGCTGGCTGCAGGAACCTCCTGAGCCAAAACGGCCACGGAGGGCCGCCCGGGCCGTCTCGAGAGCATCCTGGGCCGCGGTGGGGCCCTCGCCGGCAGGCTCGTGACCGCGTTGGGCAGTAAAAGAACCCCCTCCTGGGAGAACGAGAAGGGGAGCACGCCGTGTTGCCTGCGTGACAGGGAGACGAGATCTAAACTGATCTACCATCATCGGCCTGACCTAAGGATCGATAAATAAGGAACGAAGCCCCTTTTTTCTCCAGGGAGTAACGTATAAGGAATGAGAACGAATCAATAACGTATACGGGACGATGAATAACGCATGCAAGCCTAAGGAACGACGGAACCCCTTTTGAAAAGTTAGTGTTCCTTATTCAAGCCGCTCACTGTACTGCCCCAGACCTGGCCCATCCTGGGCCCTGGAGCGGTGTATACGCCCTCCTGCCGTGGCCAGAGAGGCATACACACCGCTCCTGGGCCAAGGACGCGCCAGGCCTGGGCCAGTGGAATTTGTATAATACAGATCTCGTCGCCCTATGTGAGCGGGGGGCGACGCTGACACGGAGTGGCGCGGGGCATGTACAGAAGGGGCGTTGACCTAAGGAACCCTGAAATAAGGAACGAGGCCTCTTTTTCCCATAAGATTAACTTCGATGTCCCATCGAAACCCTAAGCAAAACCAAAGGCGAACTGCAAAACAACTAAGGAACACCGAGCCCCTTCCCAACGAAAAGGGTTCCTTCCTCAGTGCCCCGACTGTAGCATGTAGCATGATACTTGCAACGCGAACGAGCTGGCATGCTGCTGCTACGCCTGCTGGTACCTTCTCTCTTCCACTTTCTTTCTTTCTTTATTTCTCTCTCTCTCTCTCTCCCCTGCAGAGAAGATCGGGGCACCAGAGGAAGAACATTAACAAGCACAATAATCGGCGTCGTACCCATCGCCACTCCTGCAAGGCAGGCAAATAGACAAACGGCTGTTGTGGCATCTGCCCTGCTGCTGGCAGCACCATCTCAACACTGCTCTGCTATCAAGATGCTCAACGTGTCGTATGTTAAAGTGTCTCTGTGCAGCCACACACTTCCCCTGTCCTCAAACGCATTCCTGGAAACAGCTCGAAAGCATCGTACACCTCTTCATCCGCCGCCGTGAGAACAAAACAAATCAAACACGATGGGAAACCATGCGCAGAGGCCGCGCGACACTCGCATTGCAACCGTTTCCTCCTCCCTTCCCCATCCCCTTCCCAATTCAATCCCCTTCTCCCCATCTCTCGTCCGTGAGTGGCTCAGCAAACGAGGCATCCATAGTCGTCTTAATGCCCGCGCACCTGAGCCCTCAGGCCCGCGGGGTCGCCTGCCACGATGCTTCGTTCGCGGTGTGGTCCCTCTCGTCCCGGTGCACACCATCGACTGTCGGTCAACGGGGCTGCAGGCCGTCTTTTCCTGCGCTCCCTGCTGTGAGCAGCGGGTGTGCACTTGCTTGGTTTGTGCGCCGCTGGGCTCCGAGCAGCTGCGCACATGCTCGAGGGTGCCATGTTCGCGTTCGGCGCTGTGCTGTGGCTTCAGAAGGGGGTCGCCTTCGCATGCAGAGATTCTCGCCATCGCTCGGACGTCCCTTCCCTGTGCATTTTTCGGTTTCGTGCGTGTGTTGTTGGCCCGGTGGTCGAGGACGCTTCTCGATGGCCCCAGCCGAAAAATGCACACGTCCGAGCGATGCCAAGGATTTGTTGGTGTGTGTTGTTGTCCTCCCTGGCGGTTGGAGGGCGAGGGGTTCGCCCATGCGGCTCACAGCCAAGGGTTGGGCGGCTGGTGCGTCAGTACATCTGATTGGCTTGCCTCCGCCCACTTCCCCCCCAGGGAGGGCGGGACGCTCGAGGGAAAAGAGTGTCTTGCCTCCACTGGTTGCATCCGGCGCTCTTGATGAACACGGCAGGCTGGGAGCTGTTGGTGGGCAGCGTGCCCTCCTTGGCGGTCGGCGAGCCAGGGGTGCGCCCTGGCGGCTCCCCGCCGAGGGCTGAGAGGCGCACTCTCGCATACACTTCTGGGTGGATCTTTTGAACTGGGCCACCGTCATGACCACCTACTGGATTGGCAAATCTTCTCGCGTGATCCGCATCGCTCTTGGGAATTGGGCATGGCGCGTTCCACGTACCGTGCATGGTGCCGCGGTTGTGCGTATGGTGTTTGCGGTGTGTTCTGGATGTTCGTCACACCTACGTAAAGGTGTTGTTTGAGTCCAGGCATCAAGGACATACATGTCATATCGATACCGTCGTGGTGAAGCGCGACCGACATCCCATGTCAGCTCAGTTTCCTGCGTTTCACGGTCGTGGCTCTGGGTAATCAGGTGACTTGCTGGCAACGCTCTTGCTGCATCGGCGTTCGTATGCTTCTGGATCGCGCTGGTAGTGGTGTTCAGGTGCAGTGGTCAAGGCAAGAGGTGAGTGTTTTTGGAGGCCTGGAAATGGGCACCAACACCAACACAGGGGGTTGCCTCCACAGGGGGAAGATGATCCTAGACTTCGGCGTTGGTGGTAATAGTTCGGTCACCTTGGAGGCCAAAACTAGTACCACCACCACCGAGATCGGGATCTTCTCCCCTCGGTGGAGGCACACCGCCGATGTTTAGCGTTGGCGTCCACCTCCAGGCCTGCGATGTTTCCGACTGGCGCTGGGATTATGGATCGGGGCTGCCCGTGGGGTGGGCGGGCGGCCTCGGCTCGTGCTGTGGACGTGGCGCCACGCGTCTGTGCACGGACTCGGGCTTGCGGCACGAGGTCGCGTCCATTGGTCGCCCGAGTTATCCGGGGTAACTCGGGTCCGGGGTAACTCGGGTTTGGATTCCCGAAAACCGAACCCGAGTTATCCCTGACCCGAGTTACCCCGGATGATTCGGGGCTCTGAGTCCATGTCTCTCCAGCTTAATGGAAGGGCCCCAGGACACACAAGCAAAAATACACACACGCTAAAATATCCCCCACCTGCTCCCGTAGTTCCTGGGTCTTTCTTCTCTCCCCCCCCTCCCATATGTTCCCATATTTTCTAGGGGGGTCGACGATTCACTGTGTCTGTGTGTGCTGTTTCCCCCCCGGGAGACGGGAGGGGGCCACGCGCGAGCGGGCGAGCGAGAGGCACGCCGCCCCGGCCGAGGCGCCGCGCAGGTCTCGCCCCGGAGCGGCGCCCCCGCCCCGGCGCGGCGCGCGCGGCAGGAGGGGGAGAGAGGCGAATCGACAAGTCGGATCGGCGATCGGGATGCATCGGGTCGGCGGGAATCGGCAGCCACGTCGGGAGGAGTCGGCTCGGCAGGCATCGGCAGGCTGGTAGGCCTCCGTGGAGGCATCGGGATGCGAATCGGAGTCCGAGGCCGGAGGCGGAGGATCCGCCGCCGGGGGTTTACGATAGACGATTGCATCGAGGCAAACACAGACAGACAGACAGACAGACAGACAGACAGACACACACACACACACTCACACTCACACACTCACACTCACACTCACACTCACACTCACACACCACACACTCACACACCACACAGCGCACACCACACACCACACACCGCACACCACACACACACACCACACACCACACACCACACACACAGACACAGACACGGACACAAACACACACACACACATGTTTTTTTCCTGACATTCGCGAGCAGGCACTTTGCGAGCAGTGGAACGCGCTTGGTGAGCAGAGGCGCGTGCCAGACCCGGTGTCCGGCCGTGCCGCCAGCGGCTCTCACGTCGCGGGATTCGAGGACGGCAGGGAGGAGGACCCAGACACCCTCGGGCCATTGAGGGAAATCACGACGGGAAGTTTTTCGCTACCTTCGGCCTCTGGGGGCCCTCGCTGGGCCTCGGGATCGCCAAAACAACGACTCAGGATGAAAACCGGCCCCCCGGAACGGGCCGAGGAGGCAGGAGGAGGGAGGAGGGAGGAGCAGGAGGAGGAGGCTCCAGATGTCCTCTTGGGCCAGCCTGACGCTCTCTCGAGTCGTCCTGGATCTTCTGGGGGGCCCTCTCGGCGCTCTCCGTGGGCCCTCTTCGGCCGTGGCAGACCGCCCAGTGGACCCATCTTCGACCCAAAAACAGCGCGGGGAACTACAACTCGTCCTTCTCTTCCTCCTCCTTTCCTCTCTCCTTTCCTCTCTCCTTTCCTCTCTCCTCCTCTCTCCTCCTCTCTCCTCCTCTCTTCTCCTCCTCCTCCTCCTCCTCCTCCTCCTCTTCCTCCTCCTCCTCCTCCTCCTCCTCCTCCTCCTCCTCCTCCCCTTTTCCCCTTTTTCCCTCACTCCCTCCCTCCCGCCTCCTCCTCCTCCTCCTCCTTCTGAGAAAAGCTTCGCGTCGGGGATCGGTTTGGGGAGCGGACGGGGCCCGTGGGCTCGCCCGAGCTGGCCAGCCTGGCCCCTCCCGCTTGCTCCAGGCTCCCCCCTTTTCCTGCACCGCCTTCTCCCCCTCGAGCGCCATCCCCGCTCCCCTGTCGGTCCCTGTCCCTCCTGTCCCTCCGCCCTCGACACGGGGGGGGGAGGAGGGGACTGGGCAGACGCGTGCGAAAGAAGCAGAGGAGGCGGAGGAGGACGAGGTGGAGCGAGGAGGACGAGGACGAGGGCGAGGCGGACGGCGAGGACAACGAGCGGGCGGCGGAGGAAGGAAGGACGAAGGGAGAAGAGAGGGTGCCCAGGAGTATGATGAACGGGGGAGGGTGGAATGGGAGTGAAGGTAGAGGGCTCGGCCGATAACGGGCCGAGTGCGAGAGGTAGCTCCCCAGTGGGTGTGCTCCCACACGGCCGTGGCAGGTTTGACACGCCACAGAGTAAGATGAACGATTGGCTTCTACGCCGCATGCGATAACGAGGCACCGACGTGCAATGGCGTAATGAGATGGCCTGGAGATCCATACCATGGGTTCATCTGATCCCCAGCAGTTCCGCGCGGGGGACTCTCTCTGCTAGGAACCCCGCCGCAATCACGTCGGTGAGCCAAAGACCGAGAGCGTACGCGGCCTCCCTCGTCTGATCCTAGTCTTCTTGATCTTCCATGGCCGGGTCCCCTCCAGTCCGACACAAGGAACAGCCTTTGGCGAGAACGGGGGTGGAGCAGTCTGGCGATTCACGGCAGGGCAACTCTGCAATTCATTTGCTGCTCCTGGGCGCGTAATGCGCCTCGTGTTGCTGTGCACGAGAGACTGCAGTCCCGCGCCAATACTACCCCTTATCAAGCAGTCAATCGCCCGAAGCGGAAAACGAAAAGATACAACAACAACAACAACAACAACAACAACAACAACAACAACAACAACAACAACAACAACAACAACAACAACAACAACAACAACACCGAACAACTCCATGCGCCAATCCGAGCATGCTCCACCTGCCTCTCCTTCTCCTCCCCCACCGTCCCGCACCACCCATCCCCCCCCGTCCTGAACGGCCTCCCAAATCGGGTCGGAGCGAACGGGATCGGAGGATCGCGCTGCATGGAGGATAGGATGCATCGGCGACGTCGGCGACACCTCGGCGACGTCGGCGCGGAGAAATCCGGGCCCCATACCAAGCCGCATCGCCGATGCATCGGCAATGCGGCGCGATCCTTCGACCCCGTCTGCTCTGACCCCGTCTGGGCGTCCTGGACTCCGTCCCCCGCCGGCCTGCGTCCGCCGCCCCCTCTCCTCCTCCTCCTCCTCTCGGCGGCGAAGCTGGGGGCGAATAGCCCAGGGGCGGGCATTACACGTATTCGCCTGGGAGCCGTTTTCGAAGACATAGATCATCGGCGCACCTGCATACGTGTACTGCTCTCCCATGGGCTACAAAGAGGGCGCGGCCGCAAGAAACCCAACCCTGAAAACCCGCGCGCGAGGTGCGCCTGAGGGGAATCCGGGAGCGCCCTGAACGCAGCAGCTTCTTCAACGGCTGCGGGAAGTCACCGCGCAGCGGGCGGAGCGAAGAAACCCAGGATACCCTGACGAAAAGCACATGGTTTCTTGATGCGCGCCCCCACTGTACTCGCCCCTATCGTCGCCTCTGATCCTCGCATCCCCTCAAGAGGCGACGCGGGCCCGCAAAGGCTCCTGGAACGTGGCCGCCACCAGCTCGGTCAGACACTCGGGGAACCGCCTGCCGCGCGCGCCCGCGCGCCAGCCGGGCCCCATCGGCAGGAGGGGCGTCCGATGAGTATCGTTGGACCGATGCCCATCCCCATCCCCATCCCCTTCGAGGCCCTCACCATGTTAACCCCCCATGTGGGGATACACCCCTCGAAACACGAAGGGTACGGCCCATAGCCCCATCCAGGGGGGCAGATCGGCCAGTGGGGCCGATGTGTCCCCCTGGAGGGGGATACAGGTCGTTCCCTTCGGGTTTCGACGGGTGCATCCCCAACTGGGGGGAAAGAGTCTGGCGGGAGTCTCGAAGGGGATGGGGATGGGGACTGGTTGAACGATACCGAAGCCCGGCTCCAACGACATCGGGCGCACGCTGACATGGGCTGGGGAGCCGTGGATCCGGCGCGAGGATCTGGGAACGTCTGGCTCGGGGAACGTCTGGCTCCCGAAACAAGTGTGCGGCCTGGGCCGCCTGGTTCGGCGACGGGGAGCGTCGAGGTCGCACGGAGGAGAGGCCCGTCGCCACTCCGCGCGCCCCAATCCACGCTTGTGCTTCCGCAGCGACTGCGCTCCTGTCTGCCCTCCTCCCCCTCCTCCCCCTCATCCCCCTCCCCCTCCTCTCCCCTCCCCCTCCCCCTCCCCCTCCCCCTTCCTCCTCCTCCTCCTCTTCCTCCCCCTCCTCCTCCTCCTCCCCCTCCTCCCCCCCCCCTCCCCCTCCCCCTCGCCCTTCCCCTCCTCCTCCTCCTCCTCCTCCTCCTCCTCCTCCTCCTCCTCCTCCTCCTCCTCCTCCTCCTCCTCCTCCTCCTCCACACACAATATGAAAATACTCTCCCACTTCCCCTGATGGCGTCCCGAAGATATCCGACACCCCCCCGCGTATTGTTTTTTACACACAGGATTCCCGGGAAACGGGTTTTCGCTTGTGTTTTTTTTTTCAAAATGCTGCTCTCGCCGAGGCGCCGGCCTCATTTTCGGGCCCCGCTCGTTCCGAATCGTGCTCCCGCTGCAGCGCTGGCCTAATTTCCGTGCTTCCGCTCGTTCCGAATCGTGCTCCCGCTGCAGCGCTGGCCTCATTTCCGCGCTTCCGGCCGTTTCGACTCGTGCTCCCGCTGCAGCGCTGGCGTCATTTCCCGTGCCATGCCACAGCACGCGCGCACACACGCACACACACACACACCACCACCACCACCACCACCACCACCACCACCACCACCAGCACCACCACCACCAGCACCACCACCACCAGCACCACCAGCACCACCAGCACCACCAGCAGTACCACCAGCAGTACCACCAGCACCAGCACCAGCACCAGCACCAGCACCAGCACCAGCACCAGCACCAGCACCAGCACCAGCACCACCACAACCACGCACACGCACGCACGCACGCACGCGCACCACCACCCACTTGTCCGCGGATAGAGAAAATCAGCGCCATGGTAAGGGATGGGAGGGAGGGGTAGGACGTCAGATATGACGCGCGCGCGCACCTAGCTTGCCCTCCTACCCCTCCTCCACCTCCTCCCCCTCCACAATTATTCAATATGAATACTACTCTCCCTCTTCCCCTGATGACGGTTTGAAAGTATTAGCCCCCCCCCCCCCGCGTACTGTTTTTATAACACACAGGATTCCCCGGAGTTGCGTTTTCGCCTGCATTGTTTTCCAAAATGCTGCTCTCGCTGAGGCGCCGGCCTCATTTTCGGGCCCCGCTCGTTCCGAATCGTGCTCCCGCTGCAGCGCTGGCCTCATTCCCGTGCTTCCGCTCATTCCGAATCGTGCTCCCGCTGCAACGCTGGCCTCATTTCCGCGCTTCCGCTCGTTCCGACTCGTGCTCCCGCTGCAGCGCTGGCGTCATTTCCCGTGCCATGCCACGGCCATTTCCAATGCAATGCTAGGTTGATACTACGCTTTGCGGTGCTCTTCTACGCCATGCCATGCCGTGCTCTACAATGCATCGCGTACCCTTTCGGGATCATTGCCCTGCTCGACATTCGACTGTGCGAGAAGAGAGGGGATCTACGCCATGGTAAGGGATGGGAGGGAGGGGTAGGATGTCAGATGTGACGCGAGCGCACCTAGCTTGTCTTCCCCCCCCCCCCCTCCCCTCCCCCTTCCTCCTCCCTCCTCCTCCTCCTCCTCCCTCCTCCTCCTCCCCTCCTCCTCCTCCTCCTCCCCCTCCTCCCCCTCCTCCCCGTCCTCCCCCTCCTCTCCCCCCTCCCCCTGCCCCTCCCCTCCACCCCGCCAGGGGCGCCCCCCCCCTCCCCCCCCCCCGCGAGCCCAGACCCTCGTGAATAAAAGCGCACAGCGCTGCTCGGCAGCCAAGACAGCGTCGGATACAGCGTCCGGACGGCCTTTCTTTACACCTCGGTTGAGTTAGCAGTATTCGTTGCTCCTGCTGCGTCTTGCAACCTCGACAGATTGCGTGTCTGCAACCGTGCGGATGCGCGAAGGCTCGTGGTTGGTGCCACTGCGTGATCACAACGCTGCTTGCTATCATTCTTTATGTTGGCATCTGCCATGTTCGGGCTCCTGGGGCCCTCGCTGAGGCATCGGAGCCATAGCAAAAATCGGATCGGGACGATAAGCTGGCTTTCGACGGAGTTGTCGAGGCCCCCAGGGGTCTGCGTTTGCGAAACAGAGACGGCGTGAGAGGTCTGGGAACATGGCAGGTCCACGTCGCGATGACGCCAGCGCTCGAGTAGGGGATCGACTACAGAGTTGGCTTGCCCCAGAGTTGTTTCTCCGTCGAATTCGCGCAACAAGTGCAAGAAGAAGGTTTGCCAAATCTTGGGGACCTTCCTCGCATGTCTCGTGGCTTCGACGCAGAAAACCATTATGGGGCAGAGATCGATCCTGCAGACGATCTCCTGCTCGAAGCGCTGGAGTTTCTGCCACCGCGTGCGCCGCTCCTCGGCGGTGGACGGACCTCCCTTTCGCAAACCTCCCCTCAGTGAAAACGGCCTGGGACCGAAACCGCCCGACCTGGACCCGCAAAAGTGACGGCCGCGACGCCCCCTCGCGAACCAGAAACGGCCAATCCCTTCATCGACGTGTCGGGGCAGGAGGCCTCCCACCCCCGAGCTCTCCGCCTTGGCACGGCCGCGGCCCTCCGACGTCGCAGACCCCCCGAGGAGATCGGCCGACTCCGGGCCCGAGGGGCGGCGTTCCGCCCGGCGCGCCAACGGGGCGCGAGCCTGCCGTCGTCGTCAGGTCGGGCCTGTCCCCCTGCGCGCGGATTTCCGACGAGAAATGAAAACATACCCCACAAATGCTCCAAACATGTGCTCAAGAACAGTCAAAACATCGTCCCCAGACTGTGTTTGAACTATTTCTGGGTATTCCTCCTGCATAGGGACAGGCCGGACTTCACGTTTCGATCGCTACCGTCGGACCCAGGCCAGAAAAACATTCCTAAAGAACATGAGACCCCCCAGTGTCGGGGAGACGTAAGACCCGGGTACGGGGGAATCGGAAATCCCCGACGAGGTCGTCAACAAAAATGACGAGGCCGAGCCTGCATTTTGACGAGGCCTCCCGCTGCAGACATCCCACGAAACTCCTCCTCGTCAAAATCCGAGGCGCGGTCGTCAAAAAACGATGGCGAACCCGAGTCCCGGCAAACCCGGGTCTTACGCTCCCCCGACAGTGGCCAAAGCAAGCAGAGCATCCAAGGGTCCCCTCCCCCCGGGATGCACAAGAGCATCCAACAGACACGCAGAACGTTTGGGCACCCTCCCCGAATCGACCTCGATCTTATGCCTCGATCCGACTTGCCTCCTCATCGATCAGCGCCCCCTCGCGACCCGACTGGCAGCCGACAGGGAACAATGCCGACACCTCACCCGCCATCCCCGGCACAGGAAACTCTGCCGACCGTCGGCGTGCGTGAGAGGCTTTTCCGTTCGGGTCGTCCTCGTCGTCGGCGTCACCGCTCCCTCCTCGTCCCTGTCCGTGGGCCCTCCTCGTCAGACGCCCCAGCCAAACTGAGCAACGTCTTCATCGAGTCGAAGGAATCGGGGATGGACAGACCCCCCTTTAGTAAAACGTGGTTTAGTGAAAACGACCTGAGGCCCAAACCTGGCGGGCGCAAGCCTGGAAAATAACGGCCGCGGCGCCCTCTCGAGAACCAAAAACGGACCATTCACTAATCGACGTGTCACTGTTGGGGGTTCTGTCCACCCCCGAAGGAAGAAAGCCCCTTCCCTTCAATCTCTTCCCCGCCAGGGGGAGGCCCCGAGGGGGCCAGGCGGTGCGAGGTGCCGGTCGGTCGTCCGGGACGACGGCCCTACAAAAGCTCGGCGGGGGCGCTGGAGCGCCGAGAGTTCAAGACATTAACTTTTGATGCTTGCTTCGTCCCAGTGGGGGCGGGGCAGGGGAGGGGGTCCCAGGGGTTGTGATCGCCCCCCACGTGGAGGAGAACTCCTCCCTGGGAGAAGATTTCCCCCTTCGACTCATTGCCTCCCATACGCCTCAGGCTCCCCCCTCAAGGTCGGAGGCACCAGCCGCAACACCTTCACAAAAACATATAAACTGTTCGGCAAAATTGACCATCCGCGGCGGTCCCGTGATCACTTTCCGTCGTTGCTTGAGGGCAGGGGCGGCAGGGGGGCAAGCATAGTGCCTGGTGGTGCAGGCCGCCAATTCCTAATGACAAATAATGCTAAGTGCACTTTACGGCAAACTCAGGTGAGGGGGCCGAGCGTTTTTGTTCACTGTCCCTGGGTACGTGGCTGAAATGAAATTCCGCGGCGCAGATTCTGCTTGGTGCTATTTGTTGTCCTCGACCCAACCGCAATCCACCCCGCGACGTACCCACGACCCACCACACGACACACCACACAACCCACCACACGATCCACCACACGACCCAACCGCAATCCACCCCACCTCGCCATCGCTCGGACGTCCCTTCCCTGTGCATTTGTCGGTTTCGTGCGTGTTTTGTTGGCCCGATGGTCGAGGACGCTTCTGGTCTTGACAGGGTCTGGTGCGTGTCGGTGGGGGTGCCCGCGTACAGGGCAGTGTTTGATACATCGGATTTTCTAAAATATAGGATTTGTCATACATGATTAATTTACGAATAAATGTTTGCATGAACTCCTCGTTGTTTTTTAATACTGAATCCCTGCATGTTGAATACATGATCCGCACGCGGAGCATGTATTAAAGACGGCACTGTATGGTCTGGTGCGTGCTGGCCCACCACCAACAACAGATGCAATGCGACTGCGGGTGCGCAAACTACGCACCGTGCGGTCCACGCTCAGCGCCACCGACACTTCGCAGTGGTCATGGCAGGACCGTGGGCGCCGACGTGTTTGCCGATGTGTGCGGCCACGCGCGCTGGCGCAACTGGCA